AAAAAAAAAAAAAAAAAAAAAAAACAGTCTGTCTTCTCCTCACATGGGGGACAGCTGTATTTAGCTACCCTATTTTCTTCTCTCAATGTCTTACCTTCCTTACTCTGCCTACCGTCTCTTGCCTACCTGCTCATCTCAGCATGCGACCTATCCACCCAATGTAACCTAGCACCACAACCCAAAACCACCAGGCACCAGACACCACAAATGCAGACAGCAGGCCAAGAGACTATGGACTAGGGAAAGTAGCCAACAAACCTACGCTATGCCTAGTAATTGGCGAACACTACAGCTTTTAAGTACCCTATCCGAAGCTAAGCTATCCTATGGCTATGGGTCTATGTCTACCACCCCCTGCTCAGTGCGGGGAGCACTACCCAGGCTGCTAACACCTGGCATATGCCGGAACAACGTTCCCTAACCAGCCAGAAGGCCCAAAGCCGACAATCTCCACTGGTGAAAACATGGAGTATACCCCCAGGAGTCCGTCGGGATTAAGAGGACGATGTCGGGAATCGAACCCACGACTTCCTGAGTGCCACTTATGTGCTCAACCAACTGAGCTTTCAGATGCAGCCTGTCTGACAACTTGATTTCGAGACCCGACATGTCCCACCTTATAAAGGACTAATGTTGCGACTCTCCCTCATAACACGGTACGATCTAAGGTAAACTCTGGCTGCCTGAGCCACATAGCCCCACCGGTTGTGACTCAATGCGGACACAGTGAAGCTTGGACAGGCCTATGTTTTCCTGAGTGAGATGTGGGGTATCAACGAGTCTGTCTGCTAAGAAACCCAAATACAACTTTAGCAAAATCAACAAGGACAACACAGTTTACCGAAACATGTCCAAAAATGAGATGTACAATGAGTCCTAAAACAAAGTACTCGATGGTAGCTGGAAAAAACCTTGAAACACGACTGCTCCTGTTCGGTTCTGACTGCTCACTCAAGATCCACAAGCTCGATGCAAGATTCTTTTTTTTTTTTTTTTTTTAAACAAGCTGCGTCTATTGGTGGGGAGCAGCACCTGCTGGAAACCGGGTCCAGCGTCCCATAGATACAACCATATCCTCACTAATTGGCACAAACTGGGAACCGGGCCCAGCGTCCCATAACGCGTACGTTCAGAAAACTTCAGAAAACTTCATCAGACAACTTCAAGAAAATGAGGCAAGAAACTTTTGGAAAATTGAAATACCGGGACCATCACCTGGCTTTAGCTCGGAACTATTGGAGCTACTTCAGACATGTCTATGACAATCTCATGAGAAAATTCAGAAACGACTTGGAAAAAGCCTCATCGATCCACTTTGCCTCACTCCGGCAAGACTGACTGCAGCAGAGCCACCATCTCTACTGCTGCTATGCTGTACTCCCATCCTACCAGCTAGCCCCCTCACTGGTAGGACGCGTGATAACCCACCATCTTCTCCCACTCACCTTATTAACTCTTACCGACGTTCCAGAAGCAAGAGAATAGGCCACAAAGGTCCTACGATTGTTCCAAAAACTTTGAAAACCCACACACACCCTTCCAACGTTCTCCAAAACTGTCGTACACTTCTGCCGCTCTCTTCCAGGTCTCACACCCCCACTTTCTGCTGGGTTACAGGGCAACGCAACTCACCCCAGCTCCGACCAGCGTCGTCCCGGCAGCAACCCTTGGTTGTCCCGTGGAAAGCCCCCCCAAGACATCCCCAGATCTCTCTACCAGACCTCACGCTCCTGCATCACAGTTTACAGGGCAACACCCCAGCTCCGGTCAGCGTCGTTCTGGCATCGAACAACTGCAGATCTCGAGTATAACAGTGATGACGCCACATAAGACGAGTTGGTAGGGATCCCTAAGTCCTAAAAACATCCTAGGACCACTAAGCACCCAAATCTCTTTAGCTAAGGACATTCAAAAAGTGTTTTTAAAAAATATAAGAATCGGGGGGGCAAAACTAAAACTGTCTGCTATCCTAGATTCCCCCTTCCAACAGATGGAGCGTCGGTCCAGGCTTTCAGACCTCGTGCCAGAACTCACTTGATCTCATACCCCCTTCTGCTAGGGTAACAGGGCACCACAACCCTCCCCAGTACCGATCAATCTAGCTCTGACGGACAGGAAGTGCCTTCCTCCCTCGACAATTCCCGTAATGGCAAGCCCCTAAGCAGGTTACAGGGTCAACACCCCAGCGCCAGCTATGTCGGACGATCTGGTTATGCCTTCCACCCTCGGCATAACTTCCCAGGCCTCAAGCTCCCCCTGGGTTACAGAGCAGCGGCTCCAGCACCGGCCTCTGTCGTCCCAGCCTCGTCCTTCTGACCTACTTACCCAAACAAACAACCTTTTCTGTTGAAAATCCCCTTGCTACCTTCCTTCCTTCAAACCTAGCTTCCCCCCCCCCTTTTGGCTCACTGTGTCGCCCTGGAAATCACTCCTTCCCTCAAAAAATCCTAACACTGCTATAAGCAGCCACCCCCTTGCCTTCTCTCCCCACCCGCCAGTACTGATCCGACCCTACATCAGTCTGGCTAAGAAACAGCAATCCCCCAATACCGCCCACCTTGTGAAACCCTCACCAGGGGAGGCTCCAACCCTCAAGGAAGACACCACAGGTATACACACCAAGCCACCATTACACCCCTCAAGACCATGAAGTTGGAATTCACAAGCCAATCCGAATCAAATTTTACCGCACGGTGTTATGATTAGTAATCATAGGATTTGAAAACCTGCGGAAACTCACTTTTAGGCATCGGTGATCAGAAACGAATTTGCATCAGAAATCAAGAAAAAACAAGACCATAGGATCAATGATAAGGAAGACTACTGAGTGACGAAAATTACGAGAAATTATACGAAAATTAGGCTTAGATATCCATAACGGATTTTCGAATCTGATTCCGAAACCACGGTTTGAGAAACTCTTAGCAAAGACGTATAGCACGAAAAAGTTTAAGAAATTATTTTCCTGAAACCATACAAAAAACACTGAATCAGATTATCATCATTGAAAATATCAAGAATACGTCTACAACACTCGAACACTCGATGCAAGATTCTCGCAATGAACACTGTACAATCTTCACTCCGCATGAGGCAATGCTCCTGAACCCCCATGTCTGCCAACCACCCACCACTATGACACGTAGGGCATATGAAGCTAAAGACTGTTTGAATACCTCCGAATCCGCCCAAACCTCTTGTGAAGGCCCTTCTCCTCGCAGAGAAATCCTCTCCCTCCCTCTGCATGCTAGCCCGCAACACCGCTGGAAGAGTCACAAAGCAAAGACACCACCACCCCCGCTTACTCAAAGGATGATTCAGCACTCGACCTAAGCAAAACCTTCGCTGAGACAGCTGCTACCACTCTCCATCAGTTGAAGCTGTATGCCGCAACCACACAAGATCGCAGGGCGCCGCTCTTGTCAAGAGTGTTGGTTTGCCAACGAGCTTCTCCTTTGCGGAGCCCGCCCACCCAAACATCGCACGAACACCTCCATCACCCTCTCTTTGAAGGCGTTCGTGACGTGGCACGGCTTGAAAACTCGGCATGCCGTACAATCGCCAGCTCTCCTGAGACGCGCCAAACAGCATCATGATCATGGCGTAGCGCTTCACAACTCGGGGCCGCAGCGCTCTTGGTAGCCCTGCGCCCCTGTCATTGATTGCACTCTTGTCATCCCTGTCCTCAAGAAACCAGCCGCATCTAGCATCTGCCAAATCCAGCTGCATGAAGTACACTGTCATGCCTGATCTCAGAGTGTCAAACCAGAAGGTACCAATCAGAATCTTGGTAATGGTCCCACTGAGACTATTATGCCGACGGCAATGAGTCAAACACGAATACTGAGTTCCAGAGATACTTCGATAGCCAGTCAGGACACACGAACACGGATGAGCAATAAAGGAAGGTAACATAGCCTAGTGGTGGCAATATCATCATAGCCACTTCAAGCACCGGAGTGATAAGGAGTTTATCCCTCAACATCACAGCGAATGGTGCCATATTTGTAGTAAACATTGCAGCCAGTGAGTTGTGGAATAGGAAAGCATAATACCCTGGGTGAGCAACCTTGTAAGCAGTAATCCATGGCAGTGTGGATGCGAATACCGCTTTGCTTGCCATCCACATGATTGGGAATGGGAAAAAGAGAGGAACAAAGTAACCAAAAAGGCCAAAACAGGAGGCACCTCCATGAGGACTCGGTTTCAACTTGCGGGAGGTAACAATATCATCCCTGTCTCTTAGGAGCTGCACAACATTCAAGAACAGCAGCGATAGCAAAGTGATCGTGGCAGTGGATGCAACCATAGGTTTGGTGAAGAAATTCTGGACAAACCTCTGTGCCAACAAGTGAGCAAAAGATGTTTCCAAAATTAAGCCAGCTGATTGAAATAAAGATGGTCCGTACAGCGCCAGGCGGGCGAAATCGCCAAGCCAATTGTATGCCCGTGATCTGCTGGACCACATGAATGAGAATAAGGGGCTCAATAATATGCCAGTTGGAGGGCTCCCAGAAACTACCAGTTGCCCAAACACTTACGAGGTTGAGGCCTTCAATGCCAAAGGTGCTCAAAAGGGATAGAATTGAGGATGCTGCATGCAAGTGTGCAAAGTCCTCCTTTGTAAATAGCCGTGTGCGCCACATACGAAGACACTTTCCTAAACAAGGTTGGAAATGAGAAGACCTCTCCTGACCGATCTGCAGGCTGCACAAGACAATGGTGTTTTTTTTTTTTTTTTTTAAACGATCCCTCCAGTGCTAGCGATGCTGGTAAGAGCAAACACCGCTAGCATCTGGGGATAGGCTCCATCTATTGGTGGAGAGCAACACCTGCTAGAAAGCGGGTCCAGCGTCCCTTTTTTACAATATTAACATGAGATCAGAGCTCTGAAAATCAGGACCTCTTTGTCTATTGTTGGACGCCGGATGTATCTCTATCAGCTAGTCCTGGTTTTCTCGAAAGAACATGTGGATTCTTACTACTACCAGGCCATAATCTGAGACTTTCATATTTCGTCATATCCAAACCAAGATCTCGGTACCATAGCTGATAGTGGAGGTGGAAAGGGATCAGGAAACTCAGCCATTGGGCGCATGGGTATGGATGGATCTACCACAGTCCAATCCTCAAATATTATTCTGTAATCTCTCCTTACCTCCTGCTTGTTCCTTTTTGCGACCCCTTCCCATTTAACTTTCCCTATGCCCTTCCCCTGGTTGCCCYCAAGCCAGCATGTGCTGAATTTCTCAATGTGTTTGTGAATTTCGTCTCTTGAGGATAGAAGTTGAAGTTTTTCTTTTACTTGTTCCCATTTAGCAGTAATTTCTGTTTGAACCAACATTTTAATAGTTTCAGTGAATTCAGGCCCATCTAGACGAGGCCCCTCCATTTCATACGTACATCTTCTCTCTCAAATGACCCATACTACAGCTCTTCTTCCCATGATGAAGAGATTTTGCGTGAATTCGTCATCCAACTCGTCAGTCCAGGCTTCCAAAAGAATTGTTTCCCAATTCCATGGCCATCTAGTTTGTGGTAATAGTTGATCCCAGATTCTGTCTCACCACCTCCATAACCATATAGCTCCTGGGCATTGCATAAAGATATGCTCAATAGTCTCTGGAATCATCCTACTGGGGAATGCAGATTTGCAGAATTTACACCACCTGGAGGCTATTCCTTTTTGTTCTAAGGAAGATCTTTCTATCAACCAATCATTAGTGGGGAGACATCTGTGTTCAATCTGCCATTGAAGTGATGCCATCTTTGCCGGCTTGGATTTCATTATATTGAACCATTTGATTGATTTCATTTCTTCTCTACTGAGGTTGAACTGTTTCATCCACCTGGCCGTTCCTGTTTCTTTTAAATTAATTCTTGTTCTTAACATTCTGTATTTGGATTTTACAGTAAGGGTGTGTAAAGTGCGTTTATAATTTTTGTCAATTTTCTTCTGTTTGCATGATGAGCTCCAGCTCCAGTTAGCTTGGTCTAATGCTAAACAAGAGATGGGAGTATCTGGTTCAAATGCCAGCCATTGTTCTTTGATTCTAATTACTCTAATTCTGAAAATTTGGTTAGCTTGGACCCATTGGATCTGACCCTGAGTTTTTGGCTGGAGAGTATTATTTTGTGAAAGATCATAGAGTTCCAGGAGTATATCTCCATTCTGAAATTTATCCAAAATATTACCAATTCTTTGAGGATAATCCTTAATTGCCACCCAGTCATTGATTTTGTGTTTGGATCCCTTCTGAAGAATTCTGATCCAGTCCAAGGGGATTAGCTCAATTATTCGCTCAAGAGCTTCCTGTGTATGGTGACTGAAACGAAGATGTTCTTTAAGTGCTATGGGATCAATCCAATCATTAACTTCACTATTCCAAATATCTTTAATTCTGATTACCCCTCTTTTAACCCATCCTTTCCAGGGTGAGTCCATACAGTGGAGGACACACCCTTGAGAGTCTCTGATCCATCTGTTATTAAAGAGGGGTTGTTGACATACTTCTTCCCACCTTTCCGGGGGGATCTTGTCAGTTAATGGCAATTTTCTCCATGTCTTGATCAGAGCGATCCAGAAAGAATCATTGCATATATCTTTCCTTGCTTCTAATCTGTCTGAAGGTGAGTCGTTATGTGCCTCCCTAATCTTTCTTTTTGGGAGGGGTCAATCACAATTTAGGTTGGATAGTAGATAGCCATGCTAAACTTTTGAAGTTGATTTGTCAAGTGACCATATGACTGATTTATACCAGATAGAGGCTAAAATAACATTATTGATAGCCAAAACACGTTCCAAAAGAGAAGAGTGTTTGTTTTTCCAGAGGTCAAACTTGATAGGCGCTTGTTGAGTTATCCATTCATTGTTTGTTTTTGGTTTTCCCGTTCCAGATAGAGATATCCCTAGTACTCGAATAGGAGCATCAATCGGGAGCCACTTGACTTGAGGTTGTTCCGGGGGTCTGACACCTTGGTGATGAATCCACCATCCTAGTGTTTTGCTTCCCCAATTGACTCTCATGTCAGATAATCTACAAAATTTATCCATCATTTTTTTGACTTCTCTCATGTTTTCTTCTGATGCATCTACCACAAGAGAGAGATCATCAGCAAATAGCGACCAGACCGGGATTGCCTCTTCCGGTATCGATGAAATTTGAATACGCCTAATATCCTTGTGTTGTCGAAGGTTTGCTGCTAAGGCTTCCATAACGATCACAAAAAGGTAGGAGACAATCGGGTCTCCTTGCCTGACTGATCTGTATAATGGTATAGGAGGCGCAACATTACCATTAACCATGATTCTAGTAGTAGCGTTCTTATGTAGAATTTGAATCCATCTTCTGAAGCAAAGACCAAAGTTAAATTTTTCTAGACATTTATCTAGAAAGTACCAGTCAACATGGTCATATGCTTTCTCAAAGTCAATGAAGATGAAGGCCACATTATGTTTAGATTGACGAGTGATCTTGATCCCTTCACTGACTAGAAGTATATTATCTTGTATATTTCTACCAGATATGAATCCAGTTTGGGATGGATGAATTATATCAGAAATTATTTTGGACATTCTTTCAGCTAACGCCTTGGCTACTAATTTGTACACTACTGTAAGCAGTGTGATGAGACGGTAATTCCTAATATTGGTCTTATCCCCTTTTTTGTGTAGGAGGGTTAGTACTCCTTGTCCTACGATTTCTCCCATCTCTCCTGACTTCCAGACTGCCTGATAGTAATCCAGAAGGTCCTGAGACAAAACGTTCCATAGGGATTCCCAAAATTCATTAGGTTGTCCATCAATTCCTGGTGTTTTCTCCTCCTCCATTAGTATCAGAGCTGTCCATATTTCTTCCTTGGTAAGTGGTTTTTTCAAGCTTTCCTTTTGTTTTTCTGTTAGTGACTTATTCAGCGGGAGTAGGAAGTCATTGACTTCCTGTTCTCGCTGATTCGGGGGAATATGTCCATTTTGGGAAGTAAATAAATCTTTAAAAAATTCTCAGGCAAGCTTAGAACAGTCTGTCGTGGACGTGACTAATGGTGCATTTCCATCTAAGGGGTCGGTCAGTGCTTCGATAATCGTCCTTCCTACCCTTGCTTTAGCCATTGCGAAAAAGCGTGCATCCATAGAGCCTTCCATGTCATGATACCTGAGCTTGCCTCTAATTCTCATTCCTTGCCACCTATACTCCATAAGTGACAACAACTGTTTTTCCAGGTCTTGTAATTCATTGGCTATCGGTTCTAGAAACTCCTGGTCCTCGGACTCTGTTTCTATATTTTGAAGTTCTTGGATTCTGTTACATAATTGTGTTTCTTTTGAGTGTCTCTGTGAAACTAACATTATAGAGTATTCATTGCATTTACGGCCCAGGAAGTATAGACCGTTGTTGTACCATCTTACCTCATCATTGATGAGACCCTTTTGTTCTTTCCAGAATTGCCACACATCACTAAGATAATTAACGAAGTTATTTATCTTGAGATGAGATGTGTTTAATTTGTAATAACCTCTTCCTTGATCAGGTTTTTAACGAAAAGAAAAAATAGTTACACACATCGAATGGTCTAAACCAGGAAAAGAGCTTTTGGGGAAGATTTCTGCTACCTGTAGAGCCCCTTGTAACTCCTGGGCTACCAAAATTAGATCTATACGAGATTTAGTAGTTTGTCCTGATTGACCCTTTATGAAACATGTAAATGTTCTAGACGTGGGGCTAACGACTCTAAAAGAATCAACCAGATTTAAGGTGTGACATAAATTAACAATAATTAGTTCGTTATTCTCTATGTAGGTAGGGCATGGGGAAGGGGTACGCCA